GGGGGTGGGCAACAAGCATTTAATGACGTAATAACTCAACACATCAATGGCTAGGTAGATATAGGCACACAGATACGTTTATTACAGCAACAAGAAGCCCAAAACTTTCTACAATAATGGAACATTTCTTTAATAATTTTTCCACATTTCTATAAATGTTTGTTTATCATCTGAACAGTTTCTCCAGTATGGATAAGAAAAGAACTTTTGGAAGCTAAAAGGCATAGACAGAAAAACTTTCCTAAGAAGGAAAATACTAAATGCCCTTTCTTCCCTGGAACTCCATGGAATTATTTGATTTATCCATTCATTTTTAAGACTGCCTCCATTTTAAAAGCCATGTAAGTGATGTATAACAAAGTAGCAAACAACAAGACAGAAATATTTTTTAAAACACACACACACAGAGAGAGAGAGAGAGAGAGTGATTGAGAGAGAGAGAGATTGAGAGAGAGAGAGAGAGAGAGAGAACCATTGTAACCAATGCCACAATACAATGGTAAAAATAATTTAATGACTCTTTTAAATAGATACATCTTTTTAAAGGTCTTTTTAAGGGGAAAGGCAGGACGGAAATATTTTATTTATTTTAAATAAATAAATAAACTGTAAATACAGGGGGATGTGGAGCAACAGAGATTAATCTTTTCCTGTCTACCTGGCAAGCAAATTTCTACAGGAGGGGGCATGCTGAAAATGTCCTCTCTAATAGATCCTAGCAGCTGGACGGAACTGTGAGCAGACACATGGTTGCATAGCTAGCCAGCCCCTAAACTATTCCTGGTTTGAAGTTAAAATCTGAAACCTTAAATTGAGCATGGACATGAAATAAAGCCTAGCCCTTTTACTTGGGGTGTGTGTGTGTGTGTTTGGCAACAAGGGCAAGTCTTTTAGCATTGATGTCACATGTATAAAATTGTGACTGCTGCCACCCTTACCCCTGTCGAGCATGGTGAGGAGAGCTTCTTTGACCATGGGCTTCATGAATTACAGACTCTTGTAGCTCCTTGAAGTAATCTTTATTAAGGTGGTGAAGTCGGGTACAAAAGTTGGTTGGACTGCTCCCATCCTGACTGTTTTCAGGGGGCTTAGTTAACCCTACTAGACCACTGTGGCCTTCTCTCCCTAGCTGGGTCTGGATTCCAATCACTGACCCAGAACTATCTCCAGTCTGGGGCTGAGGTCTAGTTTTCCACACTAATCCAACCAGCTGACAGCCTTTAAAGAAGGCTGGTAGTGCTGATGCAGGTCTCTGAATCCCAAAGGTCTGTCCCACTTCTGGAGGTCCTGCATAGCATAGGCATCCTTCAGTCTTGAGAGACTATGGTAACATATTCTGTATGGAGGACTTGGAACAGCATCTAGTGTTTCAACACTGTGTGTGAAGCTGGAGTGTCGTCTCCAGAGCATGAAGCCTGGGTAAAATAATATGGAGGATAGGCTGTTACCCAAGCAGCAAATCCCCCTTCTCCACATCACTGAATTAGTCCAATGGAAAGGCAAGAGCCAATACAACTAGTTCCAGCGATGTCGCAGGAGTTGCCAGAATGACACGAACTGCCTCCGGGACTCCGGCTCCAGATTTTTCCTCAAGGTTAACTCCTGAAGCTGTTTCCATCAGTGGATATAGCCACAAGGCAGTGGCGGTTTGAAATCAGAGTTTTCCTTCTCCTAGATGGGCTGCCTTCCAAGGCTGATGAGTCCCACCTACCCGGCCTGCTCCCTCATGGCATGGAGGACGATGGCGGCACCGCAGTGGGGGTTTGAAATCTGAGTTTTCTTTCTCGTAGATGGCCTGCAGAAGATGCTCATTTCCACCACAAATGCTTCTTTTGGCCTGGGGAAGGGCTAGGAGCCAAGGGCTTGGCAGGGCATCTCTGTCTTTGCACAACAGGTCTCAAAGGGATGAGGAGTGGTGTATCTCTCTCACATCCTGGACATTATACTTTAAGAAGGATGCCAACAAACGGGAGCAGGTTCAGAGGAAGGCAACAAGGATGATCAGGGGAAACCAAGCCCTATGAGGAAAGACTGAAAGAAAGGGACATGTTTAGCCTTGTGAAAAGAAGACTAAGGGGAGATATGATAGCATTTTTCAAATGCTTGAAAAGTAGTCATACACAGAAGGGCTAGGATCTGTTCTCAATCATCCTAGAGTGCAGGACATGTAATTATGGGCTCAAGCTACAGGAAGCCAGATTTAGGCTGAATATCAGGAGAAACTTAATTGTTAGAGTAGTACGACAATGGAACCAATTATCTTAGGAGATGATGAGCACTACAGCACTGGAGGCATACAAGAGAAAATTGGACAACCATCTCTCAGATCTGCTTTGATTTTAATTCCTTCCTTGAGCAGGGAGTTGGATTCAATGGGCTTATAAATCCCTTCCAACTCAATTTTTCTATGATTCTATGACTTTATGATCCTCTATGTCAAGGATAATTTCCTAACCTGGCAGAACAAAGTTTGTATTAATGAGCATCCATGATTGTACAGGTGTGCAAGAATGCTGAATAATGCTCTGAGTCATGGATGATGCAACATAATGCTAAATCATAGATGCTGCAACATCTACTATAATTGGTTATATGCTAATATGTATAAGTATATATATGTGAAGCTGAACTGATGATGTATCCCCACCACTGATCCGTTGCTTGATGTCATGCTGCCAGTTGGAATTGCTGTATATATTGCAAATATACTTTGGTGTCGGGAGAAGCTGCCTGTATACGTGTGAGTTATTTGGACTGCCTGGACTGGACAAGACTCTGCGCCAGAGACGTCAGCTCTATGTGCTAACCCACTCTAGGTGTAGAGAATCAGAACACTCCTTAGACCAGTGATCCTGCACAACCAGCGGGTGATCCTGCATCCAAAGGTGGAGAAGATGTGAGCGGGTTCTTCCAAGACCTCCACCCATTCCTTACCTCTTCTAAGCCCAGGTCCTCTGCCCCATCACTGAGGTGCAGAGCATCAGCCTCTGCCTTCTTCCTTCTCCTGAGGCCTTGCTTCCACACTCCACACCCTCAGGCCACCTGGTTGCTGATATCTCTGTGAGGTTTGCTGGTGGACACTGGTCAAAGGCAAAGAGCCCACCAAAGACAGCTGCAGTATTCCTCTCACAAAAATGTATACCAGTAAACAGATTAGCTACCAAATACCAGTGTATACAACACATTGCAGAGCATTAATCTGAAAAATTAATCAAAACATACATTACAGATAAAGTAGGTCATTCCGGCTGAAATCATGTCAGTGTTTCAATGATATGATTTGAGCAGACCTCCACATTAGGCCTGTGTTTATATACCGAAAGGCAGTCGACAGACAAAGCAAGGTGACTGGCATACTACGGAATGTGGTAAAAAAAACCAACAACCTTGCTGTAACACTCAGACACTTTCAGCAGTAAAAGAATTCCTTCTCCTAATTGCATGCTTTCCTCAGAGTAGTACAGTTTGACCCTCAGGAAATTTGAGAAATATCACACCTGGCGTGCCTGAGGAAACCATTGCTATCTTTGTCTCCTCAGCAGATGTTCAGCTCATTCTCACTTGCTCTCAGCTGTGTCTGCATGCCCACCATCCAACAAACAACATCCTCAGTAAAGAAAGTAAGATTTAATGAATATGCTCCAAAGCCAGAGGATCAAAAGGGAATAAATTGCATGGAGTTCAGAGCCAATTCATTTCTCTACACACATTCTCACAATTTGACACCAACAGCATTTTTTTCCGTAGGACTTTAGCTATGTTTGTATTTCTTGCTAAAATCTCTATCCAAGAAGAAATAAGAGATATTGATTTTCCCTTTCCAATTTATTTTTCTGACAAGATAAGACTTAAAGCTGTGGCTCGGATCTAAAAGTCATTCATTCCTGACCATGGTGATTGTGGTGTGTGTGTGTGTGTTTTATATGATTTTTTTTTTGGCCTGTTCCCATCTGCTAGGTACAGTACTTGTGCTAATCATGCCTAGTATCTGAAAGAGATACACCAACAAACCTAGAGACCTTGCAGAGCAAATTCACATGGGAAAGCAGGTTTAGGTTACGCCTGTGGTGAAAAAAAAACCAGCAAAAGCAGCTTGATAGCAACATGCGATTGCAATCTAGTAAGTGTAATCTGAACAACGCCGAGTCAGAAGTGGGAGAAACTGACGCACTTCTTCCTATGTCATGCGCCTCATCATTAACGTTATCAGTACATGTGCTAGCAATTTAAGGCAGTGCAAATCAACAGATGGAATCCAAGCATTTCTCACTTCAGCCAGACTTCATCCTTCTTCCACGACATCGAGTCTGACTAAATATTTCTTCTGGCTTCCTTTTGCTTTCTGTTACTTGCATGAAAGAGATTGCATCAGGATTTGCCGGTGTGTTAAAAGATCTAGTCCTGCAATTGGATGGTGGCGATGCATTCATGTTTATGACATAAGGTTCAGATGTTAGGCTAAAACAAAAGAAAAAATTAAAATAATTAAAAGTCCAAAATGTTGTGGTACCTTAAAGACCAATGGCTATATTTTAATATGTGCTTTCATGGACAAGTCTGACATAATGTTGCCACAGAGAATATGATCATCATTGTGTGCTTAGTAACCTGGAATCCCTCAACTTTAATTAAAGGAAGCATTGTACATTTTAAACAAGATTAATGATGGGACATAAACTTTTAAAATATTGGGGCAGAGCATCCAGAACTGATCCTAAACTTAAAACTAGAAAGTGTCCCAGTGGTGCAAATGCCTGAATCTTGAGGAAAATAAGCAACACTGTATCCTTGGAAACTCTTTAATAAAATGTTGGCTTTGTTGGTTAAATTACAAACTTGCATGCCTTCACAATCAGTGGAAGGGAGCATGCCTTATTGTTTTGATATTTGCCGCTAATTTCATTGGTAATTTTCCCCCTGTCTCAGTTGTTGTGTCAGACCCTTCTTCCTGTTTGTTTTCTGGTTCCTTTGTTGTCTTTGCCTTCTTCTTCTCCTTTCAAGAAGAAAGTGTGGAGGTGTCCACCACGCTGAAAGTTGCAGTTTTGTCCTTTTTCTTCTGGTTGTAACTACAGCTGGTAATTGTAAATAAACTTCACTTTTCTGATGAAGCATCTAGAATTATTATTCTTATTCTTCCACAAAAAGAGCTATATTGTGTACACCAAGGGAGGATGGCTAAATCTCACATGCTTGTTATGTTTTCTGCCTTATATTCCTTTTAGGAATAACTAAATTCCTAATATAAAACCATTAAAAAAACACAGACCTCAATAGAATGGCCACCTTTCTAGCTTCAGTAGGAATAACACATGTTGATGGGATTACATGGAATGATACTTGCTCTTTGGCAAACAATAATCAGAGAACATTTTTAACATGTGTGTGTTTGTGTGTTTGTATGTTGTTGTTGTGAATATTAACAATATTATCTAATTGTTGTTTGCCAAAGGGCAACAAGTGTCAAGCATCAGCAGCCCTGGGAGAATTAAAAGGGCCTGTTTGCCTCAAGAAACAGTAGAGAAAATGAAATGATAGAAAATTAAGAGCAGTGTAGCCTGTTATTCAAATAGGAACAAATGAATCAGTAAAGTTAAAACAACTGAGAACATTCCCGCCAGCATATACATGCTGATTACATGACTGCAATTCAGTACAACAAAGGTATGAAAAAAATCAATAGAACTACGTGTTTTCTGGTCATGTAATCAGGCTCTCAGTTCCAGTGACATTCCTTTTTCTGAATGCATAATAAGTATGGTGGTGTCTTCCTTCATATAACACCAGTAGTTCACCTCATGGCATAGTCTATAAAAAGTCATGAATACCCTCTCCCCTCAAACCCTTTAAAATTAATCTTTCAAGGACTAATGTACTGGTGCTGATATGAGGAGATATAAAAGAAATTCACAGTTAAAATCAGTGCTTCTTTTTTAAAAAATAAATTACAAATACAAATATTTTATTGCTATATAACCGATCAGGCTGCATGCAAGAGTGCAGATTAAAACCAGATAGACTAATTTAATTTTATCTGTTAAAAATGAATGAATAGCTAAGGAAACAGTTATAGAATCAGGATGCCTCACAAACTGCTACCATGAAATTACGTGTTTTCTAATTGACCAGTTTCAATAAGATTTAGCAGCAGGGATCAGTTTCACTTTGTTAGCTTTCTATTGATCTTAACAACATACTGTGTTATGATGGAGGACTTCTGCATTCAAACTGAAAGTGAAGAGGATTAAGTTCCTCAGTTCCTTCCATTTCCTTTGAAATGTCTACCAATTGGAAGTGGGAGGGGGGAGGAGGTGAAGCTATTGCCTGGGCTTCGTCTCTTAATTGCTCTGTTTAATGCAGGTTTCATATAAACACTAAACAGTAGCTGCCGACGGATGAAATACTCCTTTCACTTTGGTCCAAGGGGATTTTAGAAGCATGATTTTGCTGGATGATGACAATTTCCTTTCTTGTGTCTTCTTGCCATCATAATATGATTGCTCATTGTCAGCAGATTAAGCTTTTCATCTGTCCACCAAGTTACTCACCATAGTCAATATAATCCATCAGACATATCTTGTACGTAGCCAGTGGCTGTTCTGGTGGTTTCATTGGGATGGTATCTCTAGAGGTATTTTTAAAAATTGGCTGTTTGTGGGGGTGAGACTAGAACTGTCAGAAGCCATCAGTCAATACAGCTGTTGGGAGATGAAGTCTGAAAAAAACAGCTTTGCCAGTTTCTCAGTAGCTCACCACAATGGAATTGAAATTTTTTGCTTGCTCTCTTCTGCTAGAAAAACATGAATGGGTTGAAGAAGTGAACATCCCTTAACTAGAGTTGGACACAAATTGCCAGATTGGTGGTTTATCTCAGTTTGTTTAGTGCCACAATAGGTGCTCAGTGGTTCGGCATCCTGCCCACTCTTGTGGCTGCCCATTCAGAGGCAGCAACCAGAGGACGTGGAGCACGGAAACCGGGACACTGTTGTCCAAGTGGGCACCTGCTGGAGGAGGCAGGGTACTGAACAGCCATACTCCTCTTGCAACAGTAAACTAACCAGGGTGAATCACTGAATTGGCAGTAACCTTACCTAATCAAAGGAGACCTCACCCAGAATTGCCAGGAGAGGGAATGAGTCTCCCTCCATATTAGTTGTTTGGACACTAGAGAGTGACTTATTCTGCTTTTCTCAATATGTATTTGTGGGCTTAAGAGAGAAAAATGCCCCTTTGGTGTGCTTTGTATGAGGTCGACCTATCCTCTCCTTGATTGCTTCCAGGGATGGGAAGATCTGGCACTTTCTCCCATATGTATCTGTTTCAGCCTCTGAAAAAAAGTTATTTCTGTCCTGAATTTGAGGGTATGCAAAATGTGCTGAAATTTTGAAACCTAACTCTCCCCAATTAAATTGGCTAAACCCAACAGGCACAGCTATTCCTGTAGTGGAGTCAGCCACATTGTACCTCGCTACCATATAGGTATGAAGGATGAGAAGGCTTTTTGAGCATACGGGGTGCACTTTGGGTCCACTCCTCCCCTCACACCCCATGATTGTTTTCCTGTTAGGAGTGAGGAAAAGCACGCCCTTCCTCCACCCTTGCAGTTTTTCAGGAGTGGCATTAGCAATTATAATTCTGTGCTTACTCCAAGCCCAATCAATTCCCCTCCTTAGATTGTTCATAAGGGAGAGGGACAGTTTGTTCCATCTAAGTAACATATGCAGGCATCATGGTTGACGTGTGGAAGGAATTTGTACGAAATGTGAAGCCAAAATCAGGAGCTCTTGTAGAAAATTATTGATTTGATTTGAATATTGCCCCATTAGTGAACACACACTGCTGTGGGAGGTTTACAGAATAAAACACGAAACTCCTCAACACACACACCCAGCTCCACCCCCACTAGTTGTGGTTGGTGACAGTGTTACCTTGTTCATAAATATAATGTGAAAACCCCTTTCTTACCTTGGGGAAGCAGTAGGGTTTTTTTCTTCTTTACTGTTGTCCTATTAAGCTATATAAACACCTCATAAATTTGTAGGCTCATTAATGAGGGGAGGTGACACTTGTAAACTTGCAAAGCCCTGTTCGCCTTGACATGTTTCTTTGATGACATCAGTTTGACTTTTCAAGGAAACAGGACTCCAAATGACCTCATCTGCAAAATTAAACAAGAACTGGACTTTTCATGTGGAGGGGTCTCAACCAGAAAATATTTGCACAGACTTTTCAGAGTCCTGCTCTCGTTTTTTAAGAAAACAGTTGTCTATGGATAAAAGAATCTTTTTGTTTTTTGTTTTTTAAAAGCAATCAAGCAAGTGAGAAATACATGTAGATCTTTACCTGGAATGCTTGAGCATCTCAGCAGCCTCCTGATCACCTTGCTGCCATATTTCCAGAATTCTGTTATGTAAAATAATTGGAAAATCTTTGGCACTTCATACCATGGAACACAAAGGAATATTTTACACCAGTGTGATTTCCCAACAAAAATCTGGCCTAGCCTTATTTAAACAGGGCCTTAAACCAACAATAAAAATAGAAAAAATATTTTGCTGGTTTGACTCATTATGGCCCAAATCCAGTGGGGTCTTTCCACTGGATCTGAGGAGAGTGTGATTGGGGCAGGCCAGGAATAAACACCCAGAAATTTTGGGGTGAGACACCTTCTCGTCCTGCTCCGTAAGGTATCCCAGCAGGGTCTCATTCTTTCTATGAGGTTTGACAACTCATCCCTTCTGAAATCCACTGAGCACTCTAAAAACACTTTATTTGGAGGGCTGGAAAACCATCTGAAGCAAGTTTTTTTTTAAGATACTGAAGCATACCACTGGATTTGACCTGTATTTCTAAGAGATGCCCAAAAGATGCATGTAGAAATGGGGCATTGAAATAGGCAACAGATATGGTTCTTAGTTTTTCCCTGATTCAGAAAGGGAGAATGATTCCCTGCCTTAAGATAACCCTTATGTTTTTGAATGAATCACTATGCTGGTTTGCATCTTCCAGTCAGGACACATACCCAGAACCATAACTTTGAAAAATTACTTGTTTGATCCCACAGAATCCCACAATCAGCATGGCAATCATAGAAAAGTGTCTGGTGAAGAACCATCAAGAGAGGACTCTTCTGGAATCAGCCTTCATTTTCATACATTTTCTACTCAGTTCTTCTCCATCTGCACTTATGTACCATTTAGCCAGCAGTGCAGAGGAGCTGGCATGCACTCTCACAGATTCCTCCCTCCCTCCCTCCCTCCCTCCCTTCCTTCTCTCTCTCTCTTTCTTTGCTTGTTTGGCATAATCTTCTCTGTGTGTACATCAGTATTTCAGAAGACAGGGAAGGAGCTTCTGTGGAGTATC